TCTTGAAAAAAGGGTTTAGGCCTGTTGTTTAGCCCTTCCTCCCTGGGAAAAAAATGGTATTTTTACAAAACTAGAGTCTCCTTTTCTTTCTCACAGTAAACCTTGAGAGTAAGTAAATCTAGTGCTTATTATTGCATTGTATTTTGCTCTCATCTTTATGTTTCTTTTCTCTTCCTACTTCTCGAGGTAGGTGGTGGGAGTCTACCTAAAATGCAGCTCTGTCTCTCAGCTCAATCTTGGAGGATAGCCATTATAAAAAGCAGCACTGAATTTGTCTCTGGCTTTGCAGTTTTTCCATGTCTTGGCTTGGGAATAGTTGTTTGATGTTTTCTCAGCTCTTTAAAAGTTGTGTTCAGAGAGAAGATAGTCTTATGTTACTGTAAGTGAAAGTTGCTTCCAATATTATTTTAATCGTGGCATAGTTTTTCTGATTATATAATAGTATAATAACAAGATAACAAGAACTAGCTTTACTATGAAAATAAAGTGAGATGGTTTAGTGAGGGGAGAGAGGGAGGGAGGAAGGAAGGAAGGGAGAAAGAGAAGGAGGGAGGGCGGGAGGGAGGGAGGGATCAGTATAGATACAAGTGTTCTTATTGCTCTTACCACTGCTGTTATTTTGGGATTACTAAATACTGAGATTTATCCAGTGTTCCCTCAACCATGATAATTGGGGAAAGACTGCAAGCCCGCGGTGGAAAGACCAAAATATTCTGCAGCTTTAGCAATAGTAGTATCTTATTGCTCTGGTCTTAATTACTTCTTGTTCTAGTTCTAGCCAATCTAAAATCCAACAGAATGGGTTTAAAAAATGGTTTTATTAACAGAATACTGCTGAGTTTTAAATTTATGGATTAACTTATTTTTTTTCTTTTTCTTTTTTTTTTTTTAAGATTTTACTATGTTGCCCACACTGGCTTCCAGCTCCTGATCCTCTTACCTCAGCCTCAAATGTGGCATTGTAGTAGTTGTACTTGTGATGGAAGATACTCCAAGTAGAGATGATGATCTGTGTGATCAAAGACTAAAAGTGGGGTTGCTGGAGTTTAGACAGGCATAGGGATTTTACAGAATAGTAGGGCATCCTAGAGAGTAAATGCATTGAAAAAGATTTGAGATTCAGTGTTAGAAATATTTTGAAATCATGTTTTATATTCTTGGGAGCCATTAGAGATGTTATCTGTGCTTTAAGAAGACCCTTACTATGACTATGGATCAGATAAGGGAGAATTTGGAAAAAAGAAACTCTTTAAATAACCTAAGTAAAAGGAGATAGATTACAAAAATTTTGCAACAATTGCACCAAAATTGCCCATGAATTAACTAGTAAAATATGATACTTAAAGGAAGAATTCAAAGATGATTCTGAGGTTAAAAGTCTAGACAATTGGGACAATAACACTATCATTTGCAAACACTATGAAAATGAGCAGGTTGCAGGGAAAGATTATAATTATGGTTTTGAACATGTTGAGCTCAAGTTTTATATGGCAGGAAGGACAGCCAGCTGGAAATGTCAACTTGAGATAGTTTGAACTATAAATGTATATTTGGCAATCATCTGCATTGAAGTGATAGTTGGAATCCTAAGAGTGAATCAGCTGAAAAGTATGGAGAGACAAAGCTATTCAGAGCAATACCTTGAGGAATGTGTTGGCTATGTCAGTGGAAGAACAGAGATAGCAAAAGAGGAAGAAATATACACAGAGGGATAGAGCAGGAAAAAATGAAACTGAAATTTCTCATAGCTATTAAAATTTAGGAACTTTTACAGCAAGTTATTTTGTTTGGTTTTCTGAAAAAAATGCTATTGCCATTGTTAGGAAGAATAATTTGCTGGCCTTATTTTCTTTAGCAAGTAATCTACTATGTTAGCAGAAATAATATATTAAAATTATCTTTATTTGAAAGTTCAGTTCTATCTCTGATGAGCATATTTTTGTGTCTTCCTTTTTTGGAAAGCAATATATTACAAAGACATTCAGAACTTCTTTTACCAAACACATCAAAATAAATATATTAGCAAGCATTTCATGAGCACTGTTTTGCACATTATATATCAAGTAATCAATATAATGTTGTAGGTAAAGCTTTGCAAAATAAAACTTTTTAATGTCTTAAGGAAATTCATAGCCTTTGAAATTCCAACAGAGTCTCAAAGATAGAAATTCAGTGCTGATAGTACATTGGTGGTAATAGTAATTATAGTTATCATTTACTGAATGGTTTCACCATACATTGTGCTAAGTATTTTATATGCATTTATTCATTTAACTGTATTTACTGTGTACCTACTGCACATCAGGAACTGATCTGAGAATCTGAGATAAGTTAATAAATAAAGCAAACTAAAATCCTGACCTCAGAGAGTTTTTATTTAGTGAGGACAGACAATAACCAATAAGTATAGTAGATAAAGTATATGGACTGTAAGAAGATGACAAGTACCCCTTACTTTGTCCAGTGGAGCAAAGTAAGGGGAATCAGGAGTGCTGGATAGGGGTAGGTATTGCGATAGGTTGCATTATTATTAGAGTGGTGAAAAATGTTGAATGGAGACGTCTAAGAGGAAAGCTCCAGCCAAATGAAAGAAAGGCCCTAAGGTTGGGACATATCTTGGGTATCTAAGGAACAGTAAAAACTCAGGGGTTCAAAGTGATCAAGGAAAGACAAGAGATAAGATCAGAGAAAAGTAGTGAGCCGGAGGAGAGAGACAGATCTTACTACTACAACACTATGAGATAGTTACCATTCTAATCCCCATTTCATAGATGAGGAAACTGAAGGGCTGGGAGTGTTGCTCCAGTGGTAGGCCCTGAGTTCAAACCCCAGTTTCTCCAAAATAATTAATAAAATAGCAGATGAGGAAACTTGAGTCATAGAAAAGTCAAGTAACCTGCCATATCACTGTAAGATGGAGACTATGTCATCCAGTAACATACTGACAGTTTCAAGATGATTTAATTATTAATTCATTTATTACTGTCTGCAAAATACTAGATGAAAGGTCAGCAGTTCTGGAGTAGATGATTGATTTAATAGTGCCTCTACTTTTTCTTTCTCTGCAAGCAACATGGCTATTTATAGGGCTTGTAATTGCATCCATTTCCATAATTGAAAGTGTAGTAAGTATTCCCTGATATGAGGCTTTTGACTGGAACAAATCCAAATTTTGTTTTAGCTCCTCTAGCTTTTTTGTATTGAACCTTCTTAGAGACAGGGATATATTAATAGTCATAATAATATGATACATTTTCATTTTAATCTGGTCATTCTAGGTTGTAACAATGATAAAGACATTTACACATTGCCTATGTACATGCAACTGATAATTTGAATGAATTGGTGTAATGATAATTGCAGATTATCTGACCAGTGTACATACTATTCATGCTTAGAATGATTCAATGCCTTGACAATGTCATTTTATATAGAAAAATGTGATAAATATAACCCTTTAAATAATAGAAAAATAAATAAATAATAGAAACTATAGGAAAAATATTTGTGCCAGTTTAGTGATCCCCTACCTCATCCATAGACCAGCTTAAGTGACTAGGACTAGAGGGATTCAAAAGTCATAGTAGATCATAGATTGATAGTTAAAAGAACTAATGTTTAAAGTAAATTTACTATATTGGGATTTCCATTTTACCTATTTCTTTATATGAAGTAGAATTGATCCAAATTTATTATGATCTGTGTACTTTTCAACATGTACTTTGTAGAGGTGATCATTTAAAAAAAAACAGCACTTTGCCTGATTCATGGTTGTATATAATGATTTGCTAATCTGACAGTTAATAAAACATGATAAATTACATCCTTGGTGATCCTTAGTCTTCTTCCAGAAGCAGTAAATACATAAATCATAATTACGTGGGCTGATGATCTTAATTGTTTGGCACTAACATGCTTTTGTCAAGTGGGGGCATCATTGGTCTTTTTAAGTAGCAGTATGGTGAGAATGGCTCACTTGTTCAACTTAAGTGATATTAGAGTTAAATAATTATTCTTCTTTTACCTTTTTTAGAGAGCCTCTACTTTGTATCTAAGTTTTATTATCACAGCCAACACTTTTAATTAATAGCAAGGTTAAAGTTCAGAAATACTTTGTAGGTTTCTTTATAGTTTTCCATTGTATCAGACTCCAAAGTTACCATGACAAAATGCAGTTGTTGTTAAAAGAAAATGTCACGATTTTAAGAATAACAAAAACCTAGAGTAAAAATTTTATAGTATAGTCTTAATTTTATTACCATCATTGTGGTTTTAAGTATATGAACAAGGGGGAAAATATATGTTTAAGTTTTAAAACACACACCCCGCTAACTCACTTCATATTCAAAAATAGTTCTCAATTGTAAATAGAAAATATTTTGAGCATATCCAAAATATTATACTGTTGTGTGCTATTACTACCAACACCTGACTGTTGTTAATAACTGTAAAACTGTTTTGCTGTCATTAAATTCATATAGGAAACATATTTGAATATTATTATCATTAGACTATTGCAAATGCGTATATGATTACTGTATTTTAAAAACTTACTATGATTTTGATCTCTCCATTACTGACAATTTGGTCTATAGTTAGATTTCAAAATGCATAATTTTCAGTCTAGTCAAAAGGAACCATATTTGTTTCTTTGCATTTGGGGAAATTTTTTTAGGATGTGAAGAATTACACAGATATGGCCTTAAGTATTTAAATATCTTTAACATGATGTCTCCATCAATAAAGCTCTTAGCTTGTTCTTACCTATAAGTTTAAAATCTCATATATCTACATCCTTGTCAGCCAAATGCCATGGGCTAAAAGTAAAGATAATAACTTAAGATTTATGTCTCTCTCTTGGAGACATAAATCAGTTGTCATGAATTGACAGTTTTGAAGGACCTGTCATCAAAGAGTTCAGATGATCTAGTTAGATCAATGAATGTTAATTTTCATCTTCCATTAAATTTTTAATGTTTTCCTCTTTTCCCTTATTCTAGCCAAGCCCTATACCAAGTCCTGTTTTGGGGCGAAAGACAAATGCTAGTCAGTCATTGCTTGTATGGTGCAAAGAAGTTACAAAAAACTACAGGGGAGTGAAAATCACCAATTTTACTACGTCATGGAGAAATGGTTTATCTTTCTGTGCAATATTACACCACTTTAGACCAGATTTAATGTAAGTAGTAACAGGTTCCATTCTAAATTAACATTTTATAAATAATAGACACTTTTAAAAGATTGCAAAAAAATTTCTTAGCATGTATCCTGGAATACTTGACTTCATATTTCTTTTTTAGTAACTATACCTTTCTTTATTGAGAGAAGTGTATGCTAGGAAAAGTTTTTGCTCCTCGTACCTATAAACAATCTCTTCTCTCCTTTTTTTTAAAATGATTTTTCGCCTTAATCTTAAGCAAAAACTGACTTCAAGTTACTATAAAAATTGTGTTAGTATACAAATGAGATGAGACAAATAAGCCTATAAATCTTTGTACATTGACAACAAAGGATTATCTCACAGTAAATTTGGTTGTCAAGGCTAGTTTCTGGTACCCTGCCTTAACATCTCTTGTAGATGGAAAGCTTCAAGCAATGAAACATTTAATCACTGTTTGTTTGTTTCCTTAATTTTCCACACTGTTAGTTTTGTTGATTGAATTGCTGTGAAATTGCTACTTACTCTTTGGTACTATTGAATGTCAAATTTTTAGATTCAGTTTGTTTTAAAAACAGCTGCTTTTGTCAAACATTTGTATGTACTCACTGTGCCATTCTCTCCCTTAGTGACTACAAATCTCTGAATCCTCAAGATATTAAAGAGAACAACAAAAAGGTAAGAATTGCCAAAGAAAAAAAATACATAGTTTCAATTTTGGCATCTCTGTAGATTTTTATTAATTTGAGGAAAGCAAGGGAGTTTTTTAGTGAAGTCTTTTTGGCTCACAGAAAGTAGTCTGCTTCCTGCAGTTGAAAGAGGATGCATGGTTTACTCCACTCTGGTTTGTCATAGACTTTAAAGATTGCAAGTGCCAGGCTGGCATCAGATTATAAAATTTATGTCCTTCATTAACTGTTAAATATTTGTTAAAGAATATTGCTTTTATTCTAAGATTTAACTGTCAAAAATTATACCCAAAAGTATTAGGCCATAACTGTTAAGTAAATTTTAAAAATTTGTTAAAAGGAGATAAAAGCAGGAACCTAAATGGGTAAACAAGAAAGAATGCCTCAGTTCATAGAAGCAAAAAGGTAGGAACATTTGTTCTCTTCACTTTCTAGTAAATTATATATGTTTTTTCACTATAATTAATATACTGAGATCAGAGCTTCCTAACTGGTATGCAGGGATATTGATCCTTTCAGCCTTTAAGGCAGCTGCATAGAGGTGAGTTTCTGGAGCTTCCTAGGTCAGCTGGCTATAGTCAGGCTGACATATCTTTTTACCCCAGTGTACATAGTATATATAATTTTCTTCATGCAAGAAGGGAAGTACCTAATCCTGTACACAGTAGATATCCAATGTTTGTTTACACTGAATTGAATTCAACTAAAAAGCCAGTGAAATATATTGCTGTCTTATTTTGGGGGACAAATACTGGATTTTGAATTTAGGGCTTTATGCTTTCTAGGCATCCACCTACCACTTGAGCCACGTCCCCAGTTCTTTTTTGCTTTAGCTACTTTTCAGATAGGGTCTCACAGTTTCTTGAAGTTCTTTGTTGTTTTTTGTTTTTGTTTTTTCAGACAAAAAGTGAGCTTGCTAGGCAAGCACTCTCTGCCTTGGGCCACACTCCTAGCCTGTTTTTACCTGGGCCAGCCTCACCATAATCCTCTTACTTATGGCCTCCTGAGTAGCTGGGACCATACACACTGCCATTGTGCCTCACTTATTCATTGAGATGGGGTCTCACTGAGTTTTTTTAAAAATTAGAATGTATTTTTTGTACAGGTGGGATTCGTTGTGACAATTCTGAATAGGCTTACATTGTACATTGGTTAGATTGTTCCCACCATCTCTCTCTTTCGACTCCCTCCTGCCCCACTTAAAACAATTGCAAGAGGTTTTATTGTTCTATTTCATATAAGTATCTGAAGTCCATTAACCATATTCCCTCACCTTAATTTCCTTCATTCACCCTTCTGCCTCTCACAAGTACCCCCACATACACTGTACCCATTTTATAGTCTGTCTTTCATTATTAATTTCTAAGTTGATGTTCAAAGGGGCTTATTGATGTATCCCCACTGTGAGTATACTCTGATCAGTTCAGCCCCTTTCATTGCTCTCCCTTACCCATTCCCTCCCATCCCCCCATTTTTCAACAGTTTTCAATGCAGATCTTCTACCTTCACAGATGTTATGTATTACGATGTGATCATTCCCTTCTTCTTTCCCTCCTTCCCAGAATTCTATAGTGTAGTTCCACTATTAAAAACATCTCACTGACATTTTGCCCAGGGTGTCTTCTAACTGAAATCTTTCTGATCTCCACATCTGGAGTGGCTGGGATTATAGGCATGTGCCCCCAGGCCTGGCCTTGGAGGAGTTATTAACCTGTGGCCTGTCAGTAGAATTCAAGAGGTCCTTGAACATCATTGAGGGAAAAATACATTTGGTTTCAAAATTCCTTAGCTAAACTTCAGCATTTCCTTCAATTGTGGAAGACAACAAATCATGGCAGTATTCACCATGCCTGAGATTTGGTTGCCTTTAGAAATCACAAACATTTTCATATCTTACCATATTGTTCTAGATTTCTACAAATAACATTTAGTTTTATCATTCTTTTAAAATTACATTAATGTGCTCATTAAAAAGCACATAGTTCACTGTTTCTCAAGTTCAGTTTTATAATATTTTCATAGTTTTATTTTTCAATATAATTGTTTATCTCTTTCTTTTTTTTCTTTTGGTACTGGGGATTGAGCCCAGTAATTGGTTCTTTTAACCTTTATATATTTTATACCTATAAAGCATTCTGAGAAGAAGTCCATTGCCAAAAGGATTCATAGAACAAAGTGATTAATAACCTTTGCTTGCGACAAAAGTTTTTAGTATACTTTAAGTTAGATAATTAGAGCTACCAATGTTAAAAAGTTTTAGACACTGATAGTTCAACTAACAAACAAGAATTTGAATCAAAACAATTTTTTACTTTTACTGCTCTCTAAAACAAAAAATTTACATTTACTGCTGTAAAAATCTTATTTCTTTGTAAATATATGATGCTGGCCCTAGAATAATAGTGCATTTTAAAACTGCCATTTTTTAAAATTGAAATAATGGCACTAAAAATAGGTAATCTTGGGCTGGTGGAAAGGCACAAGTGGTAGAGTACCTGCTTGCAAGTGTGAGGCCCTGACTTCAATCCTCATTACTGCCAAACAAAAAGAAAGGTAATCTTTAAAAATTACCTTTATAGCCAGGCACAGTGGCTCATGCCTGTAATCATAGCTACTTAGGCAGAGACCAGGGGGATCACGGTTTGAAACCAGCCCAGGCAAATAGTTCAAGAGACCCTATCTCAAAAATACCCAATGCAAAACAGGACTGGAGGAGTGTCTCAAGTGATGGAGTGCCTGCCTAGCAAGAGTGAGACCCTGAGTACCACTAAAAAAAAAAAAATTTTTGTACTTATATAATTTCACCTTTCTGGGGACTGGAGATTTAGATCAGTGGGAAAGTACTTGAAGGCCCTGGGTTCAATCTCCAGTACCACAGGCAGGGAAAAAAAAATAAAGGAAATCATCTTTCTGATGGGCATTTGAATTGTGGTCATTTGGATTATTTCTTGTATAGTTTTGGAAAGCCTATGTCCATTAAAGTGAAATGCCTTTTATCATTAATTAAATTATGTCCATATATGTAACATATATGGTAAGCTAATTTGAATACTGATATAAGCATCATAAGATAAACCATTAATTGTCATTTGGCCATGGTGGTAATATGCCTATAGTCCCAACTATTTGGAAAACTAAGATAGGAGGAGCCATTGAGAACAGTACTGGCCAAAAAGTTCAACATAGCAAGACCCTGTCTCATTAATTAATTCATTAGTTACACCATTGTTATTTTAATAGAGTGGAGTTTCAATTTATTGTTCAAAATTTTAAAAAGGAAATATTGTTCGTTTTACCTAGCTATACATTTTTAAGAAATACAGGGAATTTCATTAAGGCTTAAGTCACACTTTACATTATTTTTCCAAAAACTTAATAATGATGAACATACCTTGGATTTACGTATTACTGATATATAAAAAAGAATTTTTTTTCTCAGGGCTGGGGATGTAGTTCAGAGTTGAGTGCCTAACGTGTGCTAGGCCTTAGTTCAATCCCTAAATCCCCAGATCTTTCAGGGCAGATAACCATGGCTTTTAGAAATATTTTTAACTTTGATGATGCTGTTCATTGCACTATTTAGTAAAGTTTTTCCATTTCATCATATGCAACTTCTTACCTGATACCATTGAGTATCTTAGTTATGACCTACAAATTATTTCCAGCTTCACAAGGTTCTTGATAATACCGTGTGCTTTCAGATGGACTTAAAGCAGCTCATAAAGCAATGTCAGTGTCTTAAGTTTCACTAAACTGCATAGTATAACTTGCAGTGAGTCCTCCTTAACTGATTTAATAACATCTAAGAATGAATAAGGCAGTTTCCTTTGAAAAATCCTTTTTTTCCTCCACACACAAACAACTAAAAAGACATTGGTCATGGCAGAAAAAGGTCATCCTTTGGGAAAATTCTTTTATAAAGTCTTGCCTCACTTCTAAAAAACCTGGTTTTTCCGCGCAGTTTAAATGCTTTTCATGCACTTAGTGTGCATAAAATGAATTGCTACATGGAGCAAAACACCATGAGGAGTTTCCTCACAAGGAAGCTGATCGTTTTCCCAGGTCTGTAAAAAGTGCTGAATACAAAAGGCATTTTACCTGTGGCATCTGATTTTAACCAAAATGTCAGTGTTTGAGATAATTAGGAAATGTTTAGAATACTGCCTGTGGTGCTTTTCCTGATGGTCTGCAGTTGATGTGTGTCAATCAAGTCAAGACACACAAGGAGAAAAGTGACTTTAATTTTCCTAAAACTGTAAAATAACAAACAAGCCTATACATGCACACCAACTGAGTCATTCACTAGTAAATATTTTGAAGTACCTATATTGTGAAGAATAATGCTGTGAAAATTGGAAGAGGTTTCGGTATCACGATTTAGTTTTCATTTTCTTTCTTACTTATTCCACAACATTCATTAAACTACAGGAGGAATACAGATTAAATTCAAAGATAGAAATGTACTTTAACATGTAAGTGCAAAAGACTGATTCCTTCTCAATTGTTAAATAATTTCCTAACATTTCTTTTAAGAAAGGCTCTGAATCATACTCCTAAATCTAAGTTGTTAAGAATAGACATTTTAATATCCCAAAGCAAGAATATTTTACAGAATCCTTATTAGAATTCTTTCTCCAAGAGTATATATAAACCTTTAGCTATTCTTCCTAGCAACACAATGCTGTTTTCAAGAGTTAGTTCAGGATAACAATAATTAATTGTAAATTGAGAAACAGCTTTGATTCTTCAAAACTAGAAAAACCTGATGTGCCACAGTTATTTAAAGGCTAACAAAAAATACAATGCAGCCTCACATTCTCAACTAGGTTGTAGTACTCAGAACGTTTCATTCTTTCCAAAATGGATAAAGTAAAAATGAAGCCACTCTTCTCATTATGAAAATGGATCATAATTGGGCATTTAAAAACATTTCTATGTTTATAAGCTTAAGTAGCATTTATTTGTATTTTTTGTCAGGTAATGTTCTTTGGATTTAACCTAACTCTACTTTTTCTTTACAAATCATTGCAATTACATGACCTTGGAAAAGCGAGGTTGATAGGGAATGATAAAACTCAAGATATGTTAGTCTAATATTTCTTTATATCTTAGTTCCTTGTCTTAAAAACCCATTCTAAGATTTTTGTTTGTTTAACTCTCATTTTCACATTTCTTTTGGGAAAGAATATTTCAGTTGTTACTTAGTAAATTCTTTCCTCTCACATCTACCCTATTTTTACACATTTCTGACTTTTGGGAGTTTTATTTTTTTCATGTGGCATAATCTCAGTAACATTATCTACCTAACAACAAAAAAAATTTTAATTTTGCTGTTTTTGAAGTGGATGGATTGTCTGAGTACTTCAATATATCTTTTTTTTTTCTTCCCTTTGAAGGCTTATGATGGATTTGCCAGCATAGGAATTTCCCGGTTATTGGAACCTTCTGATATGGTTTTATTAGCAATTCCTGACAAACTGACTGTTATGACTTATCTGTATCAAATAAGGGCACATTTCAGTGGCCAGGAACTCAATGTTGTTCAGATAGAGGAAAACAGCAGTAAAAGCACATATAAAGTTGGAATCTATGAAACAGATACAAACAGTTCTGTTGATCAAGAAAAATTCTATGCAGAGCTTAGTGATCTGAATCGGGAACCTGAACTGCAACAGCCTAAGAGTGGAGCAGTGGACTTCTTATCACAGGACGACTCAGTGTTTGTAAATGATAGTGGTGTTGGAGAATCAGAAAGTGAGCATCAGACTCCTGATGATCACCTTAGTCCAAGTCCAGCCTCCCCTTATTCTCGCAGGACTAAAAATGACACGGAACCCCAAAAGTCCCAGCAGAGCTCTGAAAGGACTTCAGGATCTGATGACCCTGGAATATGTTCCAATATAGATTCAACCCAAGCACAGCTTTTGTTAAGTAAGAAGAGACTACTAAAAACTGAGACTTTAGAATTAAGTGACTTATATGTTAATGATAAAAAGAAGGATATGTCTCCACCCTTGATTTGTGAGGAGGCTGACCGGCAAAAACTTCCAACTGTAGACATCATTAGTAACTTGGAGCAAGATAAAAAAGAGAATTCCAGACCCCTACAATGCAGATCAGATGCTGAATCACCTTTCAAAAAGCCAAGTTTATCTCCTACTTCTAAACTTGGATACTCATACAATAGAGATGCAGAGTTTGCGAAGAAAAAATGTGCTTCCCTGAGGCAGACAGAATCTGATCCAGATGCTGATAGAACCACTTTAAATCATACAGATCATTCTACCAAAACCGTCCAGGTAAGTGGGTTAGAACAATGACTACACATATTTGGTAATAGTCTTATGTTTTTGTATTTTTTTTGTATACATAGAATACTTTTAAGACATTACAAATTATTAAAGGTTAGAGACTGGCAAGGTGACTCAAGCCAGTAATCCTCATATTTGGGAAGCAGAGACTGGAAGGATCATTTGAATCCAACCTGGTTAAAAGTTTTCGAGACCCCCATCTCTACTAATGGCTGCTTATGGTGGTTCACACCTGTCATCCCTGCTGTACAAGGAAGGGAAAATAGGAAGAATACAGTCCAGCAGATCCAGGCATAAAGCAAAACCTTGTCTCAAAAGTAATCAACACGAAAAGAGCTGGTAGAGTGGCTCAAGTGGTAGAGTGCCTGCCTAGCAAATGCTAGGCCCTGAGTTTAACCCCTAGTACCACAAAATAATAACAATAATAAAATTTAGATATAATTTCTCATTGTAGAAAAGTCAGAAATATACATGCTCTCTATAGAAAGTTTGTGATGTGATATTTTAAGCCCAGTTGCAAGATTGAAGGATAAAGAATGTCAACTTTTCAAATCAAAGTAATATTTCTTAACTTATAAAAACAGAATATATTACCATGAGAATAAGTCAAAGATATTTCTGTTCTATTTAATGAAAGTGTCATTTTAAAATGCATATGCTTGCTGGGCACTAGTGGCTCATGCCTGTAATCCTAGCTTCTTGGGAGGCTGAGATTAGGAGTCACGGCTCGAGACCAGCCTGGGCAAATAGTTTGTGAGACCTCATTTGCAAAATAACTAGAATGAAATGGACTGGAAATGTGGGTCAAGCAGTAGAGCACCTGTTTGCGAACATGAAGCCCTGGAGTTCAAGCTCTAGTACACCACAAAAACGAAAGTGCACCAGTGCCAGGCATTGCAGTGATTGTTGTCTATGAGGGAGATGTAGATGTAAGGAGCATAGTTAGAGGCTAAAATGGACAAAAGCTTAACACAAACCTACCTCAAAAAACAAGCTGGGTTTGGTAGTACATGCCTGTAATCTCAGGTACACAGTAGGTGGAGGTTAAAGGATTGCAGTTCAAGGCCAGGCCTGGTCAAAGCAAGACTGTATCTGAAAAATAAACCAAAGCAAAAAAAAAAAAAAGGGGGGTAAATGTGAGATAGGAACAGCATGGCTCAAGTGCTAGAGCACTTGCCTAGCAAGTGTGCAGGTTCTGAGTTCAAACCCCAGTTCCACCACCAGGGGGAAAAATGTATATGCCAAATTGTATTTTTCCCTGTAGCAGTACTACCAGGAATGGTGGTTCATTCCTGGTAATCCTAGTGTTTAGGAGGTCAAGACAGAAGAATTTTATGATGCTGGGCTACGTAGACCCTGCCTCAAAAAAAAAAAAAAACACTCAGTAGCATTCAAACTTTTCCTCTCAGAGGGATATTTACTATATTGAATATCTGTTGTCATCAGTTCTAAAATACATACTATTGTATTATGTACAAAAAATTACCAGTGAAATTATGACACAAGGTTTTCCAATTATTGAGTTTTTATCTTATAGCTATTGAAATAATTCTTTTAGACTTAGGCATACTTTTTTGTTTTTGTAGAAGGAGGATTGAACCGAGGGCCTCATGCACATGGCTGACCAAATGCTCTACTAATTGAGCTACACCCCCAGTCATATGCCTGGATTTTCAACACATTTATGTATTTATTCTAAAAGGAAATTTGAAATAAACTAAACTGAATAAAGTATTCCTAAAAGGTTTTCACATTTATAATCCAACTCTTCTGAATCACTTTTTGATTTAGAGTTTTTGTAGAGTTTTCTGGAGGCTGCATAATTCCTGGTATTTACCAGATTGAATACAAATAGTTTGTTGCTTTTTTTCTTTCATTAAAAAGATTTATAAAAAGTGTAAAAAAAATGCCATTCTTAGTTTTAGTATTTGTTCTTAAAGTTTAGTAGTTCATTTTTAATTGAAATATGGCTATTTCTAAATGGCCATATGTTTATGGCTATTTCTAAGTGAAAAATACATAGTTTTTAAATCTCCCAGTTTTAATTTCCAAAATGACTAGTTATCAATAGGTATATTCCACATAGCAAAAACTCTTTGCTATTTTCAGTAAATTTTAAGCTTACAAAGAGTGCTGAGTCCAAAAAGTTGGAGAACCTCTGAATTACAGCATATTTCTACAACCATCTCTCATATTTTCTTCCAAGTCATTAACACTTATTAATAATAGCACTTTTTTGACTTTACCAGAAGGTCCCAAAAGAAGATTTTTAGACAGTAACCTGGTATTATGTTCCTTTCTTGCATAGTATAGTCAATCCTTCATAGCCACAGGTTCTACATCGGCAGATTCAACCAACCACAGATTGAAAATATGGCAAAAATATTGCATCTGTATTAAACATGTACAGACTTTTGTTTTTGTTGTTATTCTCTGAACAATACAGTGTAACAACTACTGACATAGCATTTACATGGTACTAGTTATTATAAGTAATCTAGTGTGGATTTAAAGTATATGGGAGGATATGCATAGGTTATATACAAATAGTATGCTATTTTATATAAGTGACCCAAGCATCTGCAGAAAATCCACAAGGGGTCCTGGAACCAATCTGAGAAAGGACTGTATTCAAGTGGCTGTTTACTGAAACACCAAGAAATTATCAGGTAACAAACAGGTATACAGCTATATCTTAACTGTGACCTGGGTGACAGGTTATAAAGTACCATCATTCATGAATTTTCAAAGTCTTATGAAAGAATGTGCATATTAGAATCAAAGAAATATAGTAGTAGAGAAGATAGAATCAAAGCATGATAGATGCATGTATGGAAATGTCACAGAAAACCCATTAATTCACTCAGTTAGTTAATTTTTATAATAAAAAAGAAATATAGTAGCCCTTTTCTATAAATAAGGCCCTTTTCTCCTAAAAAAAAAATCTCAAATTAAAGGTCCTAAGTAGTTAAACCTTTCTGAAAGCTTTCAGGACAACATAGTATGCTTATAGAGTAGTTGAGTAAACATCTAGTGATTGACTGTGGCAGAATTTGATGAGCCTTAGTTGTAATATTCAATCCAGATTTTCCTTATAAACCAGATTTTTAAGGCAAGTATGTTTGGTTAAAGACCAAAAATTAGAAATACTCTAGACTGAGAATCTGTAAACCTATATTCTCATTTTAACTTGGCCAATAATTACCAGTGTACAACATTAACTAGCTGTTTAAATTCTCAATCTTTTTTTTCATATATATTAAATGAAATAATCTCTAAGAACCATCTTAGTTCAAATTCTGTCATGCCACAATTCCACTTGCATGATTAAAGTTCTGTACTGAGTGATGGAAGCACCATCTATTTATAGCTCCATATATGTTTGTTCATTGACCATTGGTTTGTGGGTCAGAATTTTGCTTTGAGTAAATCTAAAGATTTGTTTGGTACTAGGTTGTCTGACACAAAAAATTGAAATTTGAGTGCTGATATTTAATAGGCTTTTTACAAGTTATATGTAGCAGCTAAGTTTTAGACAATCAAATATCTGTTTCTCTTTTATCCACTAAATTATATCAGTTCTCAGATATATATCTTTTCATATTTTAATCAAGATATTACTTATACATAGTATATTAGAATTTAATTGGCAGTGTTTTTCTTCTTAGTAATTGGTAAAATAATTGTGAATCTTATAAGCATGAATTATAGGAAATACAACAATATGGCTTTATAGACATGACACTTACAATGTTGTCCATTTGAATACCTATGACATGTTATGACAGTTATATATGTTATACATATCTGTTTTAAATTTTAAAACCTATGAGGTAAATGGTTGAATTGTATTTTATATGTAGAAAGTCTGGAGTTTACAAAATTATGTAAGATCGTATAATAAATGTTAAAGTTTAAATTGAGAACCGATAGTGTTTGACTCCAAAGTCCATGTTCCTAAATTTTATGCTCACAGCATTTCTTTAGTTTTGATTATAATAACACTAAAAAACAATCATATCCCAGATGAAAGCATAGCCCAAATGACAGCATCTGGGCTTTCATCTGAAGGGCAATTTAGCAATGTATATCAAGTCCCTTTAAAATATTTATGTCAGGGACTGGGGATGTAGATCAGTAATACAGTGCTTGTCTGGTATGTGAAAGGCCCTGGGTTCAAACCCCAACACCTCCCCCCTCAAAAAAATGTTTATGTTAGCTGAGTATGGTGGCTCACAGCTATAGTCCCAGCTACATGAGAGGCTTAGATCCAGAGGATCTTTGGCAAATAGTTCACAAAAACCAATCTCCAAAATAACCAGAGCAGAAATGGACTGGAGATGTGGCTCAAGCAGCAGAGTGCCTACTTTGCAAGTGTGAAGGCCTAAGTTCAAACCCCAGTCCTATATACACACACCAAAAAAACAAGTCAAGTTCTGTGGGACATGCCTGTAATCTCAGCATCTCAAGAGGCTATGGCAGGAGGATTGCAATTTCGAGTCCAGCCTGTGAAAAAATGTGATAAAATGTCTAGGATTATAGCTCAGTGATCCTGAGTTCAATCTCCAGTACCACAAAAAAAAAAATGTGTATCTCATGAAATCCTCCTTCCCAGAATTTTTTCTAAGAAGAGAATCAGACTTGTACATAAAAATTTGCATAGAAGGATGTTCATTAAAACATTATTTATGATGGTAAAAATTGCAAAAAACCTATATGTCCAATAAAGTAAGTTAACTCTAGTATGATATATTTATATAATAGAATAGGTAGCCTACTAGGAATCATGTTTTTAAGAAAAATAGTAAGGACATGAGAACAAATTCACAACAAAATATTAAGTGAAAAAAAGCATGCTAGGACTGGGAATATAGTTCAATGGTAGAGCAGTTGCTTAGCATGCAGGAGGCCATGGGTTCTATCCCTAGCACTGGAGGAAAAGGAAAAGCGTGATTCTATAGTGATGATATCTGGGTGCCACAATTACTAATTTTTAAATTTTTTCTTCTTTTTACTTATATGGGTCCTCTAAAATCCCTATAATGAATATAAAATACATTTCTGATCAGGAAAAAGGTGCTTATGTGCTTTTAAGACCACAGTACAGTTTTTCAGCATTTATGTAGCTGGTTGGGATCATGAAAACAACTATAGAAGTTAGAGCTACTTGATGATCTACTTTCAAGGCCCTCATTTCTAAGATAAAGAAAATGATGGGTTTTTTAAATCATCATTTGAACCTTTACTCAGTACATACCATGTGTCACTGTTCAATATGGTATTCTATTACTTAATTTTTACACATTCCTATGAGAGATGTTCTACTGTTATCCCCATTTTATAAATGAGGAAACAGAGGCTTAGAGCGGTTGAGTAACTTACCTACTGTTGAGTGATGGAACTAGCATTTGAATCCAGCTCTATCTCATTCCAGAATTTTCAGGTGACAAATAATGGAATGCATATAGTTTTAAGTAGCCTGCTTAATGTGACTTTGCTTATTATTAGTGGGAGAGTGATTAAAAGCCTGCAGTCTTGATTGAAAATTCAGTGTTCATTAAATTTTGTCTGTTTTTGAGAAAGTGTTGAAATTTTAACCACTGACTAATTCTGTCACGTCTTATCAACATGAACTTAATGTATATCATTACCACTTACTCATTTCATTAGTATTTATTAAGTGAAAAATTGTTGCTTAATTTCCTTCAAGCCTTGAGTGATGAACATGTTCTGGAATTAGGTATTGCAATCACCAGTGAATTGTACATTTTATGGAAAATCTTAAAATTACAGAAAAAAGTTTAAAAATAGTTTTAGTCAAATATAAAGATTACAAAGAGACACAGAAATTACTGTTTTTTTAAAAGGTAGTTTCATATAATGCTAAATGAAATAATAGGTTTATTGTTTATCTTCTTTTCTTTGACCATAAAAGTTACATAATGAAAGGGAAGTAAAAGAAGTTAAGCACCACAGTAGTAGCTTTCTAAAGCCAGAATTTGGCTACATTAGTAGAAAAAAGGAATTTGGACTATAAAGAGTATGGATAACTGGGTGCAGTGGTAACAACTGTAATCTCTGTTTCTCAGGAGACTGAGGCAGTAGTCTCATGAGTTCCAAACCAGCCTGGTCTGCTTGTAAGGTTCTATCCCAAAGAACAAAAAGAGTATGAAGATTGTGCTTTTGGTTAATGATAGCATTTAAGAACAGATTTCTGTTCTCTAAAAATACATTGTAAAATTACAAATTAATCCAGGAGAATATTTTTCCAATTCTGATATATCTGTTTCATTATAAAGAGAATGAGCAATAAAGGAACCAGTTTTCTAATTTTATTTTACAAAGTATAATAGCTTTGAATTTTCCATAAATATTATAAAAAATTTAAAATATTATTGCCATTGATATTTAGAATATATCAGTATATAAATTTGGATGTACATTGTTATTTCTATTAAGCTACAAAAATAAAATTGAACTTTTAAAAGTGTCTTTGACTACCAGATTATACTGCTCTCATGGCAAATATGAGGTATATATATATACACACAGACATACATATGTATAAATGCATAACTTGTGACAATATGTTCTAATAAAGTATAATTAAATTTAATCCAGTTTATGTCAAGATTTATGTATTTATTCTACAGTTTCTAGTCAACATTAATATTCTATATAGGTAATCTTATTATGGATGTAACAGTCTTCCTCCTGACCTTCAACAGATTCTTTAACCTTTAATTAGTTTACAAATATAGATTGTTGGGGTTATTTTTGATTTTGGCTTTTAATTCTGTATCTTTGCTTTTAAGCATCGAATGCTATCCAGACAAGAAGAACTTAAAGAAAGAGCAAGAGTTCTGCTTGAGCAAGCAAGAAGAGATGCAGCTTTAAAGGCAGGGAATAAGCAAAATACCAACACAGCCACACCGCTCTGCAATAGGCAGCTAAGTGATGTAAGGAATGCTGGTTAAAAGCTAAAAGTTGTTCGTTATAATCATAGTTATAATGGGGTGTGGGAAGCAATTTGCTCTGAGTTTTGTAAGTTGTTTTTCCACAGACTTTGTCCATTTTGAGTACTTGATATACCTATTGAACTGATGAAATCATACCTATAGGACCATGTTGTCATTATTCCTACACAGCAGTGTTAGCTATGAGGACAAATAAGATCCTGGGATATAATTCCACATATACCTAAATAACCTGGTTTTTGTTAGTTTACATTTTATATCTGTACTCACTTTCTGTTTAAGATTGTACTTTGTTCATGGAAGTTATTTTAATGCAAATATGAGAATATAATAATAATACCTATCATTTATTGAATACCTACCATATATATTTTACATAAATCTGTGAAGATATTCCAACTGCTTTCCAGATAAGAAAACTGAGGCTCATAGGCAAAGTAACTTGTATAAGGTCCCAGAGTGAATTTAGTATATGAAACCCTTATTAGACTCTAGAAACAGTGCTTTCTCCTATCATATACTGCCATTCCTGAATTAAACCTCATTTTATATATATTTTGTGAAGTGCTTCACAAATAATAATAAACATATAACAATGGACGCCCTTAAATGTAGGGACACATGAACTTCCTCATGAATCTGAAAACTGTTTTAACCCTGCCTACCACCAAATTCACATATACATAAAACTATACATTCATTTTAAGTCTTCACAGATAATAGTCTAATAATCTCTAATCTTGAGCATTGTTTTTCAAACTTCACATCTTTCTGAAATAATGAGATATAAAATCAGCTTACCAGGTCATTATTTGTAATGAAAAGAAATGGAATAGGTTAGAAAATATCAAAATTTGTCGTAATTAGTAAACATAGCATCTTTTTGTGAAACTTGATTCAGATAATGGGTTTGTGTGCTTACTAGATCTTGAAATAAAATGTATTTTTAACCATGGATCATGATCAAGAAAGTTTGAAAAATGCTAATCTAGAGGATCATTCTTTCTAAGAAAGATTGTGTAGACTTCATGTTAGTTTCTTCAGTGCCTAAGAAAACAATCTCTAAATATCCTCAATTTATTGATTCAGTCATTTGCCAGATTCAGGTGAATCTGTACCAAGTCTTTTCACAATAACAGAAAACATTAAGCTTCTTCCATTGTGGAGTTTATATTCTAGTGGGAATAAACAGATAATAACAATAACAAATAAATAAAGTAATTATGATGTATGAAAATTGGGTGATCCTAGTAGAGGATAATTTGGTAAGTGAAGGCTTGAGTGACCTAAGGGGAGAAGGGTATTTGAACTAAGATTTGGTGGATGAGAAGGAGGATCCCTTTAACTGAAGAGCACAAAAAGAGTATTCATTTTAAAAGAAAGCTGTTTTGTTGAGATTATATTTATAATAAGTTGTGTTTCATAGTCTTTCAAGTTCTAGAAATTGTAGGAAAATTTGTTCCTTTGTGTTTTTAAATATAAATTTAAAATATGATATCTAAAGATATATAGCATTCTGTGAATTGATTTTCAATCAGATGCTTGATATTTAAATGGTCTTTCTGCCAAGTAGATTTTTTTAAAAAATCATTTTACTGAAGGATAAATTTAAAATATCTTAATAATTATCATCTAGTGATTATTGAGTACTTGGACTGTGTCAATAAAGACCTAGTACTTTCACATAGATTTTTCTCATTTAATCATCATAACAAATATGTAAGTATTATTATCCCCATTTTACAATTGAGAAAATTGACATATATATTAATGAATTGCCTATGATCACAGAACCAGTGATCACAGACAGAGCCAGGAACTGAACCTAGACAGTCTGCCCTCAGAGATTATGCTCTTACAGCATTATGTTTCATTTCTTCTTGGTTATTTTTCCAATATCTTTATGAAGTAAGAATAGATATTATTGTAGCAATTTTAAGAAGTCAGTTTAGAAAAGGTGTTTAAGTTTACTTAGCATCACAGACAATGGCAAATTAAGTTCAGAATCCAAGTATCCTGACTCTTAAGTCTTGTTTATTCTTTCATCCAGTTTATTCAAGCTGGAGGCTTGGCTCAAGTGGTAGAGCACCTGCCTAGCAAGTGCGAACCCCTGAGTTCAAACTGCAGTACCACCAAGAAAAAAATATATTGTCAGTCATCTTTTCTGTACAAGGTACCTATAATCTTACTACTACTTTTTACTTCCCAAATGAAACATCAGAAATACTCAAATATCTTTTAATCTCATGTCTGTGTTAGTTGGATGTTAAGAAACTAATAATGGTAAAGATTTATTAAGTTTTTTTTTTTTTTTTCCTGGATCCTCCTACCTTGATCCTCCTACCTAAGGCCTCCTGCATAGCTGGGGTGACAGGCACATCCAGCCATGTTATTGATTGAGATGGGGTCTTGCCACCTTTTTACCACAGCTGGCTTCAAACTGCAAACCTCCCAATTTAATTGGGAGTACATATTTTTAAGTGTGTGTGTATATGTGTGCGTGTGTGTTTTAAGAAGAGACACATAGGAGCTGGGGCAATAGCTCAGTGGTACAGCAAAAAAAAAAAAAAAAAGCAAGAAAGTCATGGAAAGAACTCTTTGCTTTGATGGTTTTAGTTTATGCCTAAGTGTAGAATAAAGAGCTGATTTACTCTTCACCCTGAGAAGACATTAAATTCTTGATGACCGTTGTATAACTGATAAATAATCATGACATCTCATTATTCCATTGACTACAGCTGGTACGACTTAAGTTAGCTGTCTTGTATTCATGTATTGGTAGTTGCTAGTCTCTCCAGAAAGAGCAGCTCTATGACACATAGCTGTCTAGCAACATGCCAGTTTGATTGCTTTGATGCATTTGTTGTACACTTACCCAAAAATGTACCCTGTTACTTATGAAACTATGCTTTGAATAGTCTCAAAGATATTCCATATTCTTCCTCTTTTAAGTTATCTATTGCTGCAGAAAAATATTGCAAAGCTTATTGTCACAAAACAACCATTTTATTCTGTTCACAGATACTGTGAGTTAGATTCTTTTGGATAGGACACAATGGAAGTGGCTTGTTGCCTGGAGTTGGCTTTTAGCCAGGACATCTGATGAACTGTCATTTAGAACACCTACACCTGGCCTTTCATTATGGTCTATTTCTCTAGTTTGGTTTTCCTCACAGCATGGTGGCCAACTTCTAACAGCATGTATCCCCAGAGATTAAGGTGTAAATGCCTGGCTTTCTTATAATACAGCCTTTTTTCCTTTTATTTTTAAATCTTTTTTTTTTAGGCAGGGTCTTACTATATTGTCCTGACTTGCCTGTAACTTGCTATTTAGCCCAGGCTGACTTCAAACTCTTGATCCTCGTCCTATCTCTTGGCATCATTTCCCTATTACAGGTGTGCTCCATCACACCCAGGTCAGCCTTTTTTTTTTTTTTTTTTTTAATAGTACTAGGGATTGAACTCAGGGTCTTTCACTTCCTAAGCATGTACTCTACCACTTAAGCCATGCCCCCAGTCCTTTTCCTTTTAGTTTGTTTTTCAGATAGGGTTTGGTGTTACGTTTGCCTGGGCTGGCCTCAAGCTAAGATCCTCTTGTACGAATAGCTGGAACCACAGGTATGCAATGCCAGACCATCCTCAGCTTTTTCTAAAATATATAAATGTACATATTTATATACTTACAAATGTACATACTTATAAATATATATATTTATATACATTTCTTAAGTTTTTGTGGAAAAGGGAAATTAGTGGCCAAAATCATTTATAATATAGATGCAGAATTCACAGTGGCTCATGCCTGTAGTCCCAGCTGCTTAGAAGGCCTAAGCAGTAGGATCTCATAAGTCCAGAAGTTTGAGACCAGCCTGGGCAACATAGCAAGACCATATCTTAACAGAAAAAAAAAAATCATAAAACATTAACAACCCAGTAGTATATTAAAAGATTAACATCATGGCTAATTTGAATTTATTCTAGGAATTTAAGATTGTTTGATATTTCAAAAATTAAATCATTTCAGCGTAGAACAGAATAAAGCAGAAAAGGCTCACAATCATTTCAACGATACAGGAAAAATATGAAAAATACCAACATCCACTCATTCTCCATTTCATCCAAAGGAGAAAAATAACACATTTTATAGCAAATTATGAATACAAAAGAACTCCATTAATCTGAGTATGGTGGGCATACCTTTATCTCCAGCACTTGGGAGATGGAGGAAGGAAGAGCAAGAGTTCAGGCCAGCCTGGGCTGTAGACCATGTGTCAAAAACAAAACACAAAAAATTATAGCAAAAAAATTATACTTCTTTATGCAGCATTGAAAGCTTTCTATCTTAAATATTGAAAAAGGTGGGAGTCTACTATCAAGTCTATTCAACATCACAATGGAGATCTTGAAACAAGAAAAATAAAGGGCATAAAGTATGAAAAATGATATGGTGGCACAGGCCCATAATTGCTGCTCTCAGAGACAGAGACAGGAGAATCACAAGTGTGAGGCCAGCCTGGGCTATTCAATAACTCCAGGGCCACTTTGGGCTGCAGTCATTCAATCAATAAATAAGTAAAGGATAAGGTATGAAAAGGGATAAATAAAAACTATCATCATTCACCAGAAATACAGTTTTATATTAAAAGTGCAAAAAAATTATAGGTAGATTATTATCTAAAAGTAAGTTTAGCAAGATTACTATACATAAAATTAATATCCAAAATTAATTTATCTTCCAAGAATATATTTATATATTATGTATGTATTTATATATACACATATATATAGCCAATATGCATAAAAAAGATCTGCATCATCATTAGTTATCAAGGAAATGCAAATCAAAGACACAGTAAAGTGCCACTTTATAGCCATGAGAAGGGCTAAATGTGTAAAAATCATGTCTCCCATCCCCCTCCCCCTAGCCATACTGGGGTTTGAACCCAGGACCTCTCCCATGCTAGAAAAGCACTCTATCATGA